AAGCCTAGAAACGACTCGATATGACATCAAAAGGCCCAAAGCCCAATAAGGGTGATTTAGTAGCCCAGAACGGACTGTTTCGAATCTGGAACGAGCCGTTTCAAACTACTAAAAAGGCTAAGAAACCACAGTTTGGAATGGGCTGTTCCTAGTCTAGAACGGGTTGTGCCATCACAGGTTGTTATGAGTTAAATTCAAATCTAAAATGGGTCGTTTCCTGCTATTGGAACGGGTCGTTCCAGATTCAAATTTTACTCTTAACAAACTAGTTGAGAATGGGTCGTTCTGAAACTGGAATAGGCCGTTCTGATCAGTTCTAACGTTTATAAATAGCAGTCTCGGGCACTGCTCTAGGGGCTAAAAAATTCTTCTAGAAGGTCTGATATAAATTCAAAAATTCTTCTCTCCTCCCTCTTGTATTTCTTGAGATTTTGTGAGGTACTTTGTAGTGTGAAAGGCAGCCAAAAAGTGCCTAAAGATCTCCCAATTTGAAGATTTAATAAAGTTTGTTTAAGAGGTATTTCAATTAGTACTCTTCTCTCTCCCTTATCTTCTTTACTTTAATAAATATCGCCCTAAATAGATAATCATCATGTAGACGTCTTAGAGTCAATCGTGTAATTTAAATTTCAAGCTCGTAAATAACTATTAAAAAAGGGGATCTAATATTTGATTCATTAATTCTTATCATGTTAACTTCATCATAGGGTACCGATCTAAAGCGCTTTAAGGGTGTTTAATACCTTCTCCCTACACTTAACCGACCCTTGAACCTGATTTTGGTTGTTAAGGCCATTATTGGATTTTTGAAAACCTTTTCTTTTTCTAATGTTTTGAGTAAAACATTGGTGGAGACTCCATGAACCATTCTTCAAAACCATTAATTAAGAATTAGTTTGGCTTCCAGACATTCTCTATTTAATGAGATTTTTCAAAAAGGTAGTCCAAACCATTACTCGTAAGATCAAAATTTTTCAGGTTATGACAAGAGGAAGCTATGCAGCTTGAGGTGTGTCTATTCCCTTGGCCAAAGGGTTTCTTATATAGCCATTTAGGAGGCAAAAGCATAAAAGAGTTGTCTGATGTGGGACTTAATCCTTTGGATTTCTTAAAAGTGGGACTAAATCTACAAAAATAAATTTTTTAGGCACTGTGTGAGACCTCTAGAAAACTCGTTAACCGTTGGATCGCATTGGTTCTTTGATGGTACCTTCTTAATATATTTATCTTTAAATTCAATGGTTGGATCGTTGAAATTATTTCTGTAGAAAGAGATACTATTAGAACAAAAATGTTGTTTGGTATAAGACTCCTCTTTTTTAGCTGTTGTGCAAGGACTCTAGAGAATTCGTTAATCGTTGGATCGTGATGAATTTTTGATGATATCTTCTCAACACATTGATCTTTAACTACAATGGTTGGATCTTCAAAATTAGGTCTGTAGCGAGAGATATTATTAGAACAAAAATGTTGTCTAACGTGAAGCTCTTCTCCTTTTTTTGGAAATGGGAATCTATTCCCAAGCTTGGAACGACCGTTCTGGCCCATATAATTACACATAAAATGGGCCCTTGGAATGGGTCATTCCGAATTAGGGTTATAGGCCAATTTTATGACTTTGAATGACCCATTCTAGTTTAGGAACGACCGTTCCATACGTAAAGTCACCTTTTGGGTTTTTGGGCTTTTTCTGGAGTCGTTCCGGTCCGTTTCAGTGCTTTATTGGGCCCTCAACGGCTACTCATTTTGTCCTAGTAGCCTTTTACCCTTGGTAATGGTAGTTCAGACGGAATATGATGTCTACACTCATCTCATCTCCTCTTCTCACTAAATTTCTTCCACAAACTCTTTAAATCTCTTTAAACAAAAAGTTGTCGTCCTCTTTGAATATCTACTATTTTTCATGTCTTTCCAACTGCTTCATTTGACTAGGTTGATCGACCATTTTAGCCTTCATCTACATAATTCTTATAGTCATTTTTATGATAACAACTTATGTCTCTAAGAAACCTAGTCTAATGAGTCTCTTGATAAGTCATTACCGTTTGCACCTCTTTGCCCCATCTTCTTCCACTACACTATCCACTCCACCTCCTCCACCTGACTTTAACAAGATGAAGACGACACCTAATGTGGCCTAATCTTAATGTTGGCCAAGCTTTTGCTAGTGTCAAAAAAGAAGTAGAAAATATAGTTTTATTTTTAAAACTTTTAATTTCAATTCTTACTTGTGTGGATTTTGCTCTATTATTTTTTAATTAACTGTTATACATTGTTCAATGAGAATTGTTTTAAGCTATGATATTCTTATTGTTTGATATATATATATATATATATATATATATATATATATATA